TACAAAGAAATCTAACTTCTCACGAAATGACAATCCAGTGAAGTAATTAAACTATCGATGGATTAAATGCGTATCGCCGGACCATAACAGCCAGTGATACTGTGTTTCGGTCGAATGTTAATGTAATGCTGTAGAACACAGACGTCTAGCAGGGACATAATTGACCACCGATGCGTGATAACCCGTCGTGAAACTATTGCGATGACGTCACGCTAGTGTTTTTGCAGTTTATTCTGAACCAGGAATTCACTTACCATTCTGAACGTGCAGTTTACCATGTAAAACTGAATCAATCATTGTTCATTATGCAAAGTCATACATAGATTATTATATAAACCATAACAGTGTTTAAGTGGGAGAAATCACACGAATCTATTGATTCCTGCTATGATTTCTCCATTACCTACACGCCTGTTGTATGAGCGTGGACCAAGGCAGCTGCATGGAGCTAAACATGACTGAAGTTCACATCCGTTTATATATTTACCGTGTAAAATGCTTCAGAAGTCAGATTGAATTACCGTATCCATCGCAGGGTAATTATTCCACTGATGAGATCGTACGGTCATCTAGATCACATGTCTTCAGGTCGAAATTAGATAAATATCAAGCAGTCTATGTCTGTGTTCCAGCATTAGTTGAGACTGTTTCGACATGAGGCTGTTATACAAAATGTAGCGTTTGGGATTTCGATAACCACGAAGTTCCACAGAGAAATAGATAACGAGGAAGGAAGATCCCAGTCTCTGTAACTTTTTGAATTGTCACAACACCACTTCTTCATCTTACATTCATTATGATGGAACTCAAGGGACAGTTACAATAACAGTCCGAGACAGGCGAAGCCTACAAAACCCTAGAGACCAGTTCCTATTCAAACATGTTCTCAGCCGACACCTGATAGAGCGAGCATCTTCATGTATATGAGCAAAACGCTTTTGAAATAGATTCTTGAATTATTGACGACCACCGTGAAATCTGATTAACAGATTAACAAAATTCACTGTTGAAATACATAGCCTGAAATTATCAACTTTAACAGGGGTGGTGATGATGTCACTACATTTCCATTGCAGTCAGGCGAGGTTCATCACAACTGAAACTGAACTTTGGTTTAATTGGTTAGTAATTTCGTTACCTCCTAAAAACCTTCAAGATGGATCCGAACTAGGGGTACGCCTTTAAAACAACTGACAAGCGTTTGGAAAGGTTCTCAGTTCAAATAAAACTGAAAATAAATTTTTAAAACTTCGGAGAGTGTATTGGGCCATGCAGAATGTAATGTACAGCTTCATCTATGATGGCATAACTGCATGTTTTTTTGTTTGATATTTTTTTGTTTTACGCCGCACTCAGCAATGTTCCAGATGTAACCACCCGATCCCGTTAGTCGCCTCTTACGACAAGTATAGTCGCTTTTTACGGCAAGCATGGGTTGCTGAAGACCTCTTCTACCCCGGATCTTCACGGGTTTAACTACATGTTCGAAAGAGACAAACCAGATATCTATAGTTAATTGCCATGCACAATGTGTTTCCATTCAGTCGGATTTCCCAAGAAGTAGGTTAAAAATAGTTTCATATGAGAGTTACGTACAGGTCACAAATCAAGTGAAATTGAACAACGTTGGTAGCGGAATAAGGTTGGACGAGTGAACGTGTTCGGCAGCTTGACTCCCGAGAGTTTCGGTCCTGCCCCACACTGAAGCATATGATACACATGAGTGAGTGAGTGAGTGAGTGAATATTGCTTCACGCCGCATCAGCAATTTTGCAGCTATTCGCGGCGAGGATGCACATGAGGTGTGTCCTAGGGCAAGTGACTTTGTTTGATATGTGCCTCGGTTCACCCAACAGAGAATGGGTACCTGGCATGATGAGGTGGTAATGTCATTTAACTTTCCAGAGCTTCTCAGGTAGCTTACGTTGTATACTCCCAAGGGAGCTGAGAATGAAAATCGAGTGCAAACTGATCCATTGACGGGGGTGATAGGAATGTTGCGCTTTGAATATACCCAATATAGCGCAATATAAATGGCATTTGTAGCTTTTAGTAGTAGCAGTTGTAGTAGTAGTAGTAGTAGTAGTAGTAGTAGTAGTAGTTGAAGTATTAGTAGTAGTAGTAGGTGGAGGAGGAGGAGTGTCAAATCATAGTTTAATACAGACAGAAAACTATTTGTTTTATTGTCTCACAGAAATGGACAAAGCCAGACAACATTGAAACTTTCGTACGTTTTGGGAATCTAATAACGTGCAGTCTGAAGAATTGCACCTCCTTCTTGAGGGTCCGGTATAAAATAATCTACAATCAGTTATTACATACATAGTGTTAATGTGTTCACACGTTTCCCCGATAAGAAGTCTGAATGTGTACATTAATTTTTGTGTAAAACGCTACATGTCAGTACATTCGTGTGACGCATATTGCTAATGTCAGATGTGCTATCGGATACATTACACAGCCCCTTACGGTATCTCAAGTCTATACAGTAGGAGCCAGGGCATGGTTGTCAAACGATCATATTGCCTTCCAAGCTTTATAATGTCACGTGCTTTAATTTGTATATATCAAACAATGTCTGACAAAGATGAGATTTGAAAGAGTCGCCCCAGTTTCAATTCTGAAATGTCATTGTGTCTGATTACTCTCTTCTCGTCTCACAATGAGGTTATTGATGTACATAGAATACTAAATGAGCTCCCGTGTAATAACAATTTCGCCTCTCAGATACCAGAACTATTCACGAGTTTCGTAAAATTGGTATTACACGGGAGCGAATATTTTATCTATTACTTGCCGTTCATAACTTTTATAGAATTTCACTGTCGTCTGTGAATAGGCAGTCATCTACGCGATCCACAACATAATCCAATTTACTTTAACAGTATAATACTGTAAACACGTCAAAAGTTGACACGTATTAATTTGATACCATACAACGGCCCAAGTATCAGTGAAGCTAGAATTGGAAAGAAATCAAGACCCGCTGGATTCTGAAAATGGATTAATATAAACGTTCTGAGAACTTTGGGTGTGTGTTTGAGTCATTCTAAGGCTACATGAGCTCCCGATGACTACCGCTTGAGGTCGGGATATGAAAGACAGGCAGCTTAGTAGTGTACATCTAGGTGGGGTCACCCGCTACTGTCAGTAAGTAGACACGTACGAGTTTCGCTACGATCGGCTTGTGGAACGGGCCCTGCACCAAAAGTTTACAATCACGTCACATCTCCCTATGACGTAAATTGTGGAATTGTGTTACCAAATCCACCGGCGAAACAATGCCGTGTGACGTCAGCGTAGCAACGGGGTGGCTGCGGTCATAAGCTCCTCTCAGTGATCTGAGTATGTCGTTGAAAAAGAAAAAGGTTGTGGAGAGTTTTCAATATTAACTTTTGTTCGTGAAACTTGTAGTACATAAGCACGCTCTTTGGTGTACACGATGTGTAATACAGCTGTATGTTTATTAACCGAATGATATCTTCCAAGGCAAATTTTGTTTGTTTGTTTTTTGTTTCACGCCGCACTAAGCAGTATTCCACCTATTCATGGGCAAGTAATGAAACCTAACGTCATATTCCTCAGGCAGATACAGGCAGATACAGGCAGATATATATGTGCCACACTGAGCAATAGTATATGACGGCGGCCTGTAGATAATGAGTTGATCGGTTTTGTAGTTAACGATTTACGCCGTCGGCTATAAAGGCACACAAACAGCCACGCCATCGAGCCTAACTACACGATCCTAACTACACGTCGCCTCTGACGACCAGCATAGGTTGTCAGTAACGTTTGTTTGCTTGTCGTTTCACGTCGCACTCAGCAATATGCCAGCTATATGACGGCGGACGGCTATATGACCGGACCAGACAATCCAGTGATTGACATCATGAACATCGATCTACGCAATTTGGATACAATGCCATGTTTTGTTTGATTGTTGTTCAACGTCGCACTCAGCAATATTCCAGCTATATGACGGCGGTCTGTAAATAATCGAGTCTGGACCAAACATTGCAGTGAATGTCATAATGAGCATGGATCCACGCAACTGGGATACAATGCCATGTTTAGTTTGTATTTTTGTATGTTTGTTGTTTAACGCCGCACACAGCAATATTCCAGCTATATGACGGCGGTCTGTAAATAATCGGGTCTGGACCAGACAATCCAGTGATTGACATCATGAGCACCAATCCACGCAATTGGGATACGATGACATGCGTCAATCAAATCAGCGAGCCTGACCACCCGATGCCGTCACTCGCCTCTTACGAAAATGTGTTTCTTTGTTTGTTGTTTAACGTTGTTGTGGTGGTGGAAGTTGTAGTAGCAGTAGTGGTAGTGTCATCATATTTAGAATATAAATGTAATTACTACCCCATGTTTCCATGAAATACATATACACTTCCTTCAAATCAAAATTTAGAGTATTCAGAAGTGAAACAAACTGAACTGATCATTCATAGTACTAAAGTGGTTCCACTGTTGGTTCGCGCAGCAAGCTTTGCGCTTTTAGTCAACAGGCGTGTGGCCTGAACACGCGGTACAAGTCAGTGCCATATGCTGGTATAGGAAAACATGCGTAGCATCGTTATATTTACGAATGTAAATAAACATGGAGACGTGGAGAAAGTTTGGGGTGAAACTATAAACTATTCTAAATTAAATAGGTGAGAGACCTATTACTTCACAAATTAAACAAACTTCACTTCGTCAGCTCTATATTTTCACTCAATACCGAGGACCAATGAGTGCTACAGTGTCCTCCAATCGCAGCCTACGAGGAAGCGATCACCGGCTGTCTCCAACACTCGTCTCGTTAGACAGGTGCCCAGTCAATCATACTCGCAGAAGGGCCTGCCATGTACATCTCGTGAACATCTGGCATCATTACTGACACAGTAACTAATAAGCCGGGGTTATTATAACTTGTTATCAGTCGCTCGACAGGACATAATCTTTCATTATATTGACATTTACATTCTCTGTTTCAGGTCGTAATCCAGCAGAAGCCGTTACCACAACAAATCCGTTCCAAGATGGCGGCTTATGAATTACCGTCTTTCAATGACACGATCAAGGGGGATAACTCGACACTTGCCCATGCACTGGATCCAATGATAATTTTACAATCTCTCAACGACAAGAAATCCATTCTGTTGGCACCTGTCATAGCGTACACTGTTGTGCTAATGACTATCGGGATTATCGGAAACCCTATCGCCATTTTTATCTACGCCTTTCGATGGCCGAGGACGACCACCAAGTGCTTTTTGTTATGCCTCGCCGTATTGGATTTATGCAACTGTCTCATCACCATGCCAACGGAGATAGCCCTCATGGTCAACTTTTATTACTTCAGTAACAGTGTCATTTGTAAAATATCCCGTTTCACCACGTACACCATGAACAATGCTTCAGTTTTCGTGCTCCTTGTTGTGGCCATCGATCGTTTTATTAGGATATGCTTGCCTCATGATCAGCCAATCAGCATCCGAGGATCTAAGATCGCATGTGGCGTTTCTGTGGTCGTGGGAGTTGGTGTGTCATGGCCAGCCCTCGTGATTTACGGACCGAAATACGTGGATATTCCGATCCCCGGGGGCCCCGTCATAACAGGCGTGATGTGTCAGGTGGAACATAAATATTCCACGACCCCCTATCCCCTGGCGTTTATGATCTACCTGTGGGTAGCGTTCTGTGTCATCGCAGTCGCGATGACGGCGTTGTATATTATGATAGGAAGGGAGATAATCAAGAGAAAAAGGATGAAGAAACAGCGCGGCGCTTGTACGTCATCGCATGTTGCGAAATTACGTAACGAGAGTGCAAGCATCACAAATAACGACTCAACGCCAGCGTCACCCATACCGACATTGCCCACTTCGCCAACAACGCCACCTGCCGGTATTCCAAGCAATGACAGCGCCAGCAGCGCTGCGACGTTACTCAAGGGCAGACTACCCGCACTCTCGACCTTCAAACTCAGTAAAGGCAAATTACGCCCCGGAAAAACAACTGTTATGTTATTCGCCATAACTATGGTTTATATCTTAAGTTTTCTCCCCTTTCTCATCATAGGGATAATTCGATTACGGATTGGAGCCAAGTTTTATCCGAATTTAAGCGGACCGGAAGAAGTGGCCGTTAATTTATTTCTCCGATCCTATTTGGTCAACAACTGCGCCAATCCTGTTGTGTACGGACTCTGTAACTCACAGTTTAGAAAGGAATTTAGAGACCTGTTTAGATCAAGTTGCAAAAAACACGGTGCGGGGTTGTAATGGGCTGTATTCGAGGGGTTTTTATCCATTGAATTTAAACCACAGAATCCATAATTCTTCACGAGCATGTTCCATTCTTGTCATAAAATATGTCCAGTTACATGAGACAATACAAGTTATATGAGACCAGGACAATAAGCAAGAGGTAATAATAGGCTGAATGGACGCCGGGCTGCATCAATGTAGTCGTCATTGCCCGACTATATCGTGTGACTTTTCACTGAATCGATGGTATTGCGATGATCCACTGGGTTATCTCCCTTTGTCAGTGCTCAACGTTGCCTGCAGTTTTAAATTTTCTTCATTCACCACCAGGTGTTTAGGAATAGGGACACCAATCTCCAGAAACACACGTTTCAATCAATAAATCAAATATGACCTGTGTTATGTTTTACGGAAGATCGAAGACAAGAGGATAACATCCCTCCAACCAGATACAGAGTTTGTTAACTACACTTTCTGACACTATTTGCGTTAAAAAGATTGAATGTGTCGTAGGTATCTAGATAACGCAAATATGCATTATAAGTTGTAGCAGGATCACGAGGGGTACCTGGGTTTTTATGCCTCCCGCGTTAGGTTTTATACCACGAGACGGAGGCACTGGTGTTCACTTGTATTGGATAAAGCTGAACACAGGGTATTATGTATGTATATATGTGAATAAACAC